TCACAGTAGCTGAGGGTCCCCCCCAATAAGGTGTGGTTATAATGATAACATGAGGGGTCTTAGTGGATTTAGGAGTACCATATAAGAATAGGTCGTAGGTCCTAGGGAGGCCCCACATTGTAGAGTTACCCCTCACCAATATTGAAGCTCCAGCAGCTTCTGACTCTGCTGGGCACTTGTGGGCTCCGCAAGACCGACCTTGAACACAGCCTGCAGCTGCGGCATGATATCCTTCACCCCCTCAATGACTTTCGGAACCTTAGTTGCCCCAACAGCCCACGCATCATGAAACACATGCTCGCTAGATCTGGGTCTGACAAACAGGACCATGGGACGTCATGGGCAGCTGGGGCAGCCTTTGCTTTGGCTTTCTTGGCAGGCCGGGCGGGACCATTTGTGCTCTCGGAGGTTGTTGGCTCACTGCCTGCATCTGCTGGCTTCGTTTCGGGCTCGGCATCCTTGGCTTTGTTTTCGTTTGGCTCACCCTTGTTGGGCTCTTCCTCTCCTGCCTTCTCCTTGTTTGCCTGCTGGTCCTCATGCTCTGCTTCCTTTGCTTTCCGCTTCTTTCCTGCACTTTTGCCTTTCCCTTTACCTCAGTACTCCACATTACATACCCCCATGCACTGATTGCTTCAAGTAGAACTGCATTTGAAGAGTAGAACAGCTGAGACTCCTTGGCCCAATATTCTCGCCGCCTTCTGTTCCCGTGCTCGTGCTTTAAGGGCTTTCTGTTTAATAAAGAGCTCAAGATCACAGTCAAGACCCATGGACACCAGCTGATCCTTGAGGGCTTGTGGCAACTGCAGAGCGTTCGCATCCATCAGCGGGGTTCGGTCCTGCCAAAATAATACAAGTCCCAAATCCTACGTCCGCATGAGATTCCAAAGTGCTACATAGCAACACATGTGTGGATGTTGTGCGCAGCAATCCTTCTCAGCATTGTCACATGCTGTGGCCGTAGTGTCAAGTGCAACGTCCTCAATTATGCATTCAAGCAACCAACCCTCTGTAGCAGGGGCAAGCACTCATGCTGGGCACTGGTTTCTGACAAGCTGCTGCGGCCGGCTCCGTGGCCTCATCAGTATTCTCGGATAGCATCGTTTGGCAGTCCTGTGTAGCAATTGGCTACTCGTTTGCAGGATAGAGGGCTATAACATTTCTGGGGATGAAACAGGCATTCAACCTCAAGCGCCCAACTGGTTACGTTGGTTGCAAGGCAATATTTAAATAAATCATGTAGGTTGAAATCCCAGAACAGCTATTCCATTCCCTGAGCCCTAGCCGAGCCTCAACATGCGTAGGCTTTGCCTTCTTGGGCACCATATCGAGTTCCTGCGTAGGAGCACTTTGCAGTACTGGCTAATGGGGGCCATAGGGTCATCACATATAAGGTAGGGATATAGGGGATCAGAGCAAAGCCTTAATTCGAATTCACTTGAAATCTTATTAGACCCTTGAGAAGCTGACCCCTAGCCAAGCCTGCACGTGCATGGCCATGGCCGCATCAATTTCCTTCTCGGTAGGTGGCAGTTGGGAGTCCTGCATCTTTAATTCACGTAGCAGTCCCATTATACAGCAAGTTTACAGTATTGGGGATTATTTAATTTGATCAGAGCACATTTCAAACCGTACATAGTTCAGGCCCAGGCTTATAATCATGAACCTGTCGAAGCGCCCAGTATCCTAACACCACATGTGCAGGAGGCCATGATGTAAACCCTGGTGACAGCCCCCAAAAACCAAATGAGAAAGTCCAGGAATCCCCGAAACAATGTAAAACCCTGTCCATGTATATGGCAAATGCCAGTATCAGACCCTAACCCCTAAAAGCCTGTAAACCCGAAAACCCCTCAGTTCAGTCCTCCTTGGTGTCCTCCTCCGTTGCAATTGCGGAGCTTTCATCCTCCGGAATACTTCTTAACACTACGTACGATATGCACAATCATCAATTCTGGGCGCTCCTCACTGTCATCTGGCATGTCGCTGGATGCCAGCAAACTGTCTCCAACACCAGAATCAGTAGCATCAGACATTTCAGCCTTAAGCAGCGCAACTAGCGTGATCAAGCCTCAAGCTGACCTACTGGATCAAACTGCATTGCAATGTGCAAAAACCGGTTTGCAAGCAAGAAGCACTGGAAGCATCTGATTCAAACCCAGGGAAAGCAACGATGACGTTCTTGAGAGCCTGAATCTCCGGAATCCTTTCAGGGGTGAGTTTTTCGTACATCAATGCATGGAATCTAACTTCAATAATGGCAATAGGCTGAAGAGTCCTGGCTGATGGGGTACGTCTTGTTAGCCTTACCGCTAAGGCCGCCAAAGATCGTAGGCGCCCCCCTTGCACAGCAGCCCAATCCTGAGATTATACGACTAGCTCTAGCAAGAATCTAGAGCTGCAGATCATGGAATACTTGTTTTTGCAACCTAGCAGCCTTGATATCTTTCTTGCGGATTTTCCGCTCAACCTTGCCCTCCATCTTCATCATCCCCAGGACAAGGAGAGCATGCATGTTGTTCAGCAGAACAAAGGCTTTCTGAGCGGAGCAGGGGAAGCAATGTTTATAAGGACATGCACTGGACCAAATCTTTCCTATCATAGCCCAGAAGCCTCGAACTGCTTGGGGTTGGGAAGGTTGAGCTCAAACTTCATCAAGATATGAAGGACAGGGACGAAATTCATCTTCACCTCAAATTCTCATTCGAAAAATATTATAGGATGAAATCCAAGTGGCAACAACGCCTGCTTCTGACAAGTAGCATCCTCCTGAAAGATAGACCCTGCGGCAGCCGAGGCATCGTGGAGCGGCACCAAAGTCGGAACCTTGCAGGGCGCAGACTGGGAAGGAAAAAAATCTTTATCTCATGCCCTTGCCTCCTCTGCTCGTGCTTGGGCCCAGTCCACATCCTTATAAACGATCTGTAAGACCTTCAGGATTTCCACTGCCTCCTCCTTGGATTACTTTTCATGAAGGATGGGAACTGCAAAGCTTCACTCAAGCTAAACGAAAACTACACATGGTATAATGCAAGCAAGTTTCGTCCGGTTGGGTTGCCAGGGAGTCAGAGCTACTGGCTTGCAAATTCATCACTGCTGCCCTGCAGCAGAACTTCCCCTATTTAGGGTCAGGCTCCTTGCCACCTACAGGAAAATGCTGAGTCCTGTTGAAGCCACAGCATGAAGTTCATAGCAGGTATAGGCACACAAGAGTGCATGCAGAAACACTCATAAGCTCCTATCTTTGCATATAGGCAGGGGGGAGGACGCACCATCAACATCCGCTTTATGGCGCTTTCCTTTTTGCTGCCGCCCCCATAGGAGGGCGCGTCTCATGGCTCCATATACTCGTTATTATATGCAGGCTTTCCTTGAAGAATGCCCCTGACAACCTGGGCTTGCCAATGTAAACCTTCTGCCTGATGGAGAGAGGGGCTTGAATACATGATTTTCGGTGGGCCTGTCGGTTTTCAGCTATTCTACGATCTGGATTACGCCCATAGAAGCGATTATTTCAGAGGAGTGCGCGTAAGCCCATTTTAAATCGGTGTACAGAAACCACAATTTGCAAGAGCTCATGCTAGAAGATGCCTGAATACTTCACGAATTGTATCAGAACCTATCAAGAGAAGTAGCTCATAAGGTGGTTCATAGGGGATATGGGGAGTGCGATTATAAGTTTATATACTTTGGCAGACCCTGCTTTTACGGAACCCCTTTGAGCCAAAGACCATGAAAAATATGGTTGCCACCCCAAAAGTATCCAAAGACAGGCATCTCAGCAAAGACATCATATTTGATGGACTTGCGATGCACAGGGTTCAAGACCGATCGGGAGCAGGACATTCCGCAACGATCGGGGGCGTTTCGGATCATTCAAAATCGTTCGCGAGCGTTGGGGAGAATTATTGGCAGCGTTT